CCCTTCCAACCTAAACCATTCTATCCTGGGTAACAGGAGTGCAACAATTTCTACTCTTGTTCTATTTCTTTTGCTTTGTCCTCAGATGCGGATGTGCTGGCTGATGCACGCAAGATTGTGAATGATGAGAGCTATATCCCTGAGGATCCTCGAGAATTTTGCAAGCGTATCTTTACCACCTGCTATATGGCTAGTGAGAACTCCTCCCAGGATACTTGCAACAGAGCGAAACTTCTGGCTGAGCAAATAGGCAGGTACAGGTTGTGAAGTGCTGGGAAGAGAGTCATGTTCTGGCTAAGACTTTCATATAAAACTTCAAAATCTAAAACGGGAAAAAATAGGAATAGTAGGTGTGTTAAGAAGGAGTATTACAGGCATTAGTATGTAAGTATGTAAATGTGAGGCAAACTTAGAAGCGTTTGGTGAAGGACATGGAAATTTGGAAACAGAATCTGGAAAGTGTTATTCTTTCCTAAGTTTCTCCATACCAGATCTGAGATGGTAGCAGCCTTAAAACATCATTTGGTGGGTGGGGATTTTTCTTTTTTTAATGCTTTCTTCTATAGTCAGATTGTACTAGTTGAGTCACTTCTGCTTGTATTCTTCTCAGCTATCACATCAATCTGAACATAGATGCGGCTGTGAAAGCGATTGTGGGGATTTTCAGCATGGTGACAGGCCGAACTCCCTGTTTTTCCGTCTACGGAGGGAGCAGCAGAGAAAACCTGGCACTCCAGAATGTGCAGGTGTGTTTTGATGTAGGCTGAATCAGGTCAGACCCTTTTTTTTTTTCCTGGAAAGTGTACAAAATGATAAGGTGGCAGAGGGACCCTTCATTTGTGTTGCTGTGGAAACCTGAACTTGTTGTGGTGTGTCCCTGAAGATTCATGGTCTTCTAGTCAATGCTTGTCTGCTGCAGATTCTACAATCCCACTTAACTCAGAAGAGTTTGTGACAGCTGGGATGGTCAGGAATAAATAGTATGTCCCCGTATCCCATCAATAGCATGGGTCTAGATGCTGTTTAGAAAAGCATCCCAACAGGAAGTTGCCACGTCAGGAAAATGAGCAGCCAAGTACTCTAGTAGACAAGTCTGAGTCCAGTCACATTGTGGCAGGTCCAGACTCAAAACTATTGTTGATGTATACTAGACTTTCCTGGGATGAATGTTAGCAGCCTTCAAAAGGCTCTGTGTAGGATGTCAAGCTTACCCGTCCCATTCCTACGTGTCCTCAGTTTTAGAAGGTAGAAGAGAATTTTTACATTGGAAGGTTTTGTAATCTTCAATAGGCTTATAAAATGCAACTGAAATACACGTTTCCAGTTACGCTTTTTCATTGTGTCAGAACAGATTGGGGCTGTGGCTGGGTAGAGCTAGTATACATATCCTGTAGAATCAGAGAAAACATAGCTGCCTCATGTCTTCTAGTGACTTCTCATCCCTGGCTCCAGTTGTACCTTCTCTTGTCTTGACAGCTTTCTTTTTGGCATATTCTTAAAAGCTTCCAACCTAACCAGCAGCCCTGTTTAAATTCTGGCTAAATGTTAATTATCGTGCTTGATAGTTTTAGTTAGCTGCGGAATTGATCTTTCTTCCCCTGCTACTAGTGGAAATCCAGCTGTCTCCTCTGGGAGCAAACACTGAATTGTTTATCAGGTTTTTGGCAGTGGGCTAGGCTTTAGTCACAAGAATGTGTCGGTTTGCTTAACGGCACCCACAGTTGTGGCTGGAGCTGGAGGTTGAATCTCAGGTCTGTTTGGTATTCCTACCATTCTTATCAAAAGTTGAGGTTTGGAATGGAGACAGAAGCAAAGAGAACCTTTTACAAAATTGATGTAGATAAATCCCTTTAGTCTAATACTGCATAAAAGGGTGTGGTAGACAGATGGTTTATTTGCATACTTCATCCCTCATGGATCCTTATTAGTGCTTGTAGGAGGTAGAAAATGGCAACTACTCTTCATTTTGCAATTCAGAGTAGAACAAAATTGCTCAGTCATGTAAGTCTGTGGCAGGAGCAGAGAGAAATGATTCTGCTTTGTAAATTTGCCTTAATTTTCATTTTGCTTTGCAGGCTAGAATAAGAATGGTCCTGGCCTACCTCTTTGCTCAGCTGACACTCTGGACTCGCGGGATGCCAGGGGGACTTCTGGTGCTAGGGTCAGCCAATGTGGATGAAAGGTTGGTGAATGTTAGAAAACTGAAACTGGGTGAACTGAGAATAGGTCACTGCATTTCCTTGCATTTCCTTCAAATCCTAGCGTAGATTATTACTCAAAAGTGGTAATAAGCTAAGAGTACACTGATAGCAGTGAAATTAATGAAAGTAGTTGAATTTGCCTGAATGGAAAATTGTGTGTTTTTCAGAAGTTTAGCCAAGGTATTGTCATCCTTTTCCAATGAAATGCTGTTCCTTCCTTAGCTGATTTCAGTACAGCTCGCCTGTGCTAACCTTCCAATCTCTTATTTGTGGTATTTTCTATTACTGGATTAGGAATCAAGTTGTGAACTTTGAGTTGAAAAATAGATTTAAAAAATCTGGAGTGCTGTTACTAGAGCTGACTGTTTGGAGATTAAAGCAATCCCTGTAAGACTGGGGGATTGATAACCTCTGAAGCTGTGAGAGTGGAGTGTGCTGATTCTGTGTTTTGGGGGTTATTTTTTTTTTAATTGGGCAGGACAATATTTTAATTGTTTTACATCTAATACACTATCTCAGCAAGGGCAGTTTTGCAGTAACAGTTTAAAATACTGTCTTCCTCCTGGCAATTTCATGGTTTTAGGCTGGCCCTGGTGCAGCTGAACACATTTGCCTCTTATGTATAAATGCATTCACAGTATGCAGTCTGTGTCTCCCTGTCTTTATACAACATGTATATTCATTATAGTATAAACTATTATGTTACATTATTATTTACTATTACTATATAAAATTTCCTCTCTTGCTCAGTCTCCGAGGTTACCTGACGAAGTATGATTGCTCGAGTGCTGATATCAATCCCATTGGTGGAATCAGCAAGACTGATTTGAAGAACTTCATACAATATTGCATTGAAAATTTTCAGCTCACGGCCCTCAGGAGGTGAATAGTGAAGCAGTGATACCTGGTGACTGTATTTGTGTGCAGCGTGCTGTGGACTTCACTGTTTGTTTTTCTCTGCTGATGGAGATAAGCTGCAGTAATGTTGCAAATGTTAATAAAGAAAAGTGTTCTGCACACCCCTGGTTTTAAATGATTGCCTATGCTTGGGCAGTGTTAATTGCTGGGTGCTGAAAATGCTGCCAGTCTTGGGAGTGACTGCATGCAAGCATTTGTGTTGTTAATTCCACTGAAGGAGCTGCTTGAACCAGCTGCTTTACAGTTTTGGTATAAAGCATTGCTTTCTAAACCTGGAACAGCTTGCAGGTATCGCTTCTTTCGAGTTATCTACTCCTTTAGCAGCTTATGCCCTGAAAAAGCTTTGAATAAAGCACTTCATTTTTAACATTTGGACTGCTTATTAACTAATTCTCATGAGACTGGATAAAATTTGCGTTTTCCTTCTTACCTTTTTCTTACAGTATCATGTCAGCTCCACCTACTGCGGAGTTAGAGCCCCTGATAGATGGACAAGTGGCTCAAACTGATGAGGTAATGGGCAGTGACTTTAAAATGCTGTGGTAAGCCTTAACCCAAAATCTGGGTTTTGTCCAATAACTGTTGTTTGCTCCTGTATGTATCTCTGCTTAGTGACAAGCTTGTTGCAGTCTTAAAGCTGCCGACTTTAGGTAGTGTCCCACAGCAGCCTTGCCTATGTTGAGGACAGTTTCCAAAACACCAAATCAACTCCTTTTTTAAAAAAAAAATACTGTATATTTTGGGCACTTAGAAGGATAGATGTTCTGAATTCAGTTTGTTTCAAGTGTTCTTAGTATCCAAAGAGCATCAGTCAGGGCCTTAGTGCTGTTAAAAGGACAGATGTTGGCAAAGCCCTTCCCATTCTCCCCCTGCCCTTCTCTTTGCTATCCACTTGGATAGGAGAGGACTGGTCAGCCTAACAACCACCTCTAAGGGCTGTTGGATATGTAACTGTAGGGTATTGTAAAGCTCGTTAACATAAAGCAGAGTGTTGCTAAACTAGAATTAGTGCTTTTCTTTGTTTGGCCTTACCTTACTGTTGTACACTACATTTAAGCTACCTAGAAGGGAAGATCAACAAATATTTCTCAGGAAAGAAGTGTTTTCATTGTCCAAATCAAATACTTTCATGGTAGAATTTCAAGTCTCCCATTTCAGACAGAATCTTTTTTCTTCTGCTCATAATATTACTCTCTGTCTTTTTGATCATTGGCAATTTCATTTTGCTGTTTCTCTGATTAAACTGGGTTATTGTAATTGCTCCATAAAACTATTAATTATACTTTGCATAGATAAGATTCTCAGTGACTTTGTGTGTGTGATTTCAGGCAGATATGGGGATGACATATGCAGAGCTCTCAATCTTTGGCAAATTAAGGAAAGTTGCAAAGGCTGGACCATACAGTATGTTCTGTAAGCTGATCAGTATGTGGAAGGAAATCTGTACTCCAAGAGAGGTAATATACTCCCAAAAAAAAAAAAAAATCACGTCATGTCTTTGCCAAAATCGAGAATGTTTAGAGGAGGGGTCAGCAGAGTTCCTTTTGACTGAAAGTGTAATTATTCTGTGTTTAGAGATTATTTTACAGCTGTAGGAGAATATGCTGGAAAACACTGGTATGTATCTCTCAAATGAATGGAGCTTGTGTGTGTTGCAAAGTAGTTGGGTAATTTGTAAACAGTTACTTCAGAACTGTACCTTCAGGCGAAAATTACTGTCTGAAATAGAAATGGCTACTACTCTTGAAGCCTTTGGTTATGTATTCTGAGCCAGAAAATGGCTCTTGCTTGCAAGAATATCTACCCTGAAGAAGTATCTGCTTTGCTTTTATGCAGTTCTTCCCTTCTTGTGCCTAAAGGAAAACGTTCACATTGTCCCCTGGGTCGCAGAGGCTAGTGCTTACTGTTAGATTTCTTACAAGGCACTGACTTGTTCATAAATGGTAGGTGCAGAGACGAGGCAGTGGCTGAAAATGGTCTGAAATGTCCCTTACAGGTAGGGTCATCCACAGTGATTTGTACTAGTAGTGGTAGATAAAGAATGTGGCTGTTAATGGAAGAAAATGGGTGTGTACAGCTACAACATCATCTCCAAAATACTGTTCTCTGAATTTTTTAAATACTGAGAAACTTCATCTGCTTAAGAGCTATGTTCTTTGTACACCAGGTGGCATCGAAGGTTAAGCATTTCTTCAGGATGTATTCTGTGAACAGACATAAAATGACCACCCTCACTCCTTCCTACCATGCTGAAAACTACAGTCCAGATGACAACCGCTTTGACCTGAGGCCTTTCCTTTATAACACCTCGTGGTCCTGGCAATTCAGGTGCATAGATAAACAGGTAAATGCCCTTTACGTCTTGCATGGTTTTAAACTGAAAGTCCTCGTGGTGGGACAAGCACAATTCCAGGGAATCTCCAGCAAAGGACAGCTAGCATTTAGGATAATAGTTATTGCAGAAATATCTGTGATGGTTCTTTTCACATAACTGTGAGGCTAAGAGTTCTCTCGTTCTGGTGTAGGCTCATGGGTTGGTTTTTTCCATTGGTAAGTACGGCCTATCATATTGCTGTGAAAACGAGAAGGAGGATAATAAAGCCAGGAGTGAATATATGTACTGAGGCCAGAAACTAATAGGTGTGACCATACTCATAAAGTCTTGTGCTAATGTGGAAAACAAGCTTATGTGTTTCGGTTTCAGTTCAGGACCTGTCTGAAGGGATCTCTTTAATTGCAGGATTAAGACTTGACCTACATCTGCGTGGGAAAAGCCAGTAAAAGGCAGCAATTTATTGTGAATGCTTCTCCCACCTGCTTCTACAACAATTCCTTTTTTGAACCTTTGAGTCAGTTGAATCACAAGTGTGTGTTTGCTCAGATACGGCAACGGTACTGGTACAGGGCATAGCTTGAGCACTGTGAGGTGTGGAGTGGGTTAGCCAACTACTGGAAGCCTGCCTAGCTTTTTGTAGTTTTTAGTCACACCTTTGACATTATTTTAATGCATTTTTTAATGGCAAAAGTGCTGGGCTGAAGGATTTTAGCACCTTGAAGTTTTTTCTGCCAGAGATTTTACACCTCAGTTGCTTTTAAGAATATGTTTATATATGTAATAAAATATTAATTCCCTCGTCTCTGAAATGCCAGACATGCTGTAATAGTGTTTTATTACCCTGAAACATAGGATAAAAGCTACCATGTGTAGGACCTTTTTGTAGGTCTGTTTGGTGGGGTTTTTTTCCCCCCCCCCCATTGTTTTGGACTTTTTCCCACTGAAGTCAGGGACAAAAGTTCTTTTGGGCTCTGTGGGAGTTGGGTAAGATATTTTTGTAGGGTCTGGACCAAAATGTAATTATTTGATACTTACAGTAAATGTGATTAAGATCTTTTAATGATCCAGGATATTGCTACACTCTTTAACTAGATCTGTATTTAATAACCGTTGTGCTGTGCAGGGGTACTAGCCACTGCAATTTATTCATGAAAACTGGGAGTCAGGTTTGGGGAAGAATCTGTTATGTAGGCAACAGTAACCTGAAGTGGTAACTCGTTGTTACAGATAGCTTTTTAGAAGACTGGAAAAGAATGATTTGCAATAGTGTGATTCAAATTTGCCCCTTCAAGAAAGGGAATACTGTAGGGGTTTCCACTTGCTGTGCATATTCAGCACAATTGTAATTTTGAAGACAGTCGCTCTCTAGGACAACATCTCAGTGACAATTATGCTCCTGGGACTTAATCTGCACTTAAGTTTTTTTCTGGTGTAGTAACAGGACTGTGAAAATAAAGGCCATAAACCGTACATGACATAAAAACCACCTTTGGTTAACTTACGCCAGGTTTTCCTGTAGAAGATTCATGTTAACAGCTTGAGCTCATTTATGAAGGGAAATGGTTTGGAGTGCTGATGATGGAGAAACCTGTTGAATTTGTACAAAGTACTTTTCTGCTTTGGACATTTGTAGTGTAATCAAGCCAGTTTAGTTATCCACTCTTAAGTGCCAAATTCCTTCTGTATTTGCTGCAGAAACAGCAGTTCAGGGGTAAGAGAAGGCTGAGATCATAGCATTTGCTGCTCATTGCCTGATTTGCCCTTGGAGTCTTAATGACATTCAGCTCTACCTAGCTGAAGATTCCACCTGGGTGATGAAATTTCTAGTGGTTTAGGCCAACCCTAGGATCTCCAGTAGCACTGTCTGTAGCTTCTGCCTTTTGAGTTACGCCTGAGGTGAAGGATGTGTGGGCAGACCATGCACTTCAACAATTTCTAGGTGCCAAAATGTTCACTGGGCTTTTAATAGCTGGCATAATTTGAAGGAACTGTGCTATAGCTCAGAAGAAAGCTGGCACACGTACCCCCAAGGATTAGGTATCTGCAGTCTGTCTTCTGCTTTTTTCCAGTGCTTACTGGTCATACCACAAGATTAGCTGCGTTTGGTTGAACCAGAAGATTTATCAACCTGAGTATCTTCGTGTGTCTCTTTCATGGCCAGTAGCAGATGTTGAAGGAAGAGCATAGGAACAGGGAATTTATAATACGACCCTCTCTGTGTATCCCCATAGATTTGGGAAATGTAGAACTGAATTTTCAAGTTAGAGATAACATGCAGAACAGCAGAACATTGTGTTTATTTTGGGCCTTTGGTGCGTGCTCCATGAGTTTGCAGCATCTTTTCTGAAACTATTTATAGTGTTAGTATTAACAACAGCTTAGCTTAATATAAGGCGATTCCTTTTCTTATGTTTTGAAAACAGTGAAGGGCAGTTTTATAAAATCGTGTACGTGTGCTTGAAGAGCATTTTCTGTGTTCATTTTAGTTACTCTAGGCTCTCTGTCATGGGCAGGATTCCAGGTTATAGGCTGATCTGATTTGACAGCTGCCACTGAAAGGGGCAGTGTTACCTCACTTCCTGCCTCTCCTGGCTTCTGAGGTGGCTTTGGTGCTTGTCTCACACCTTGGTCAGCCAAATGAGGTTACCAAACTGACAAAAAGCTAGGAAGTGATAGGAGCATGCAGCTGGGGGGAGGTTAATGGGGTGGGTGGGAAAAAAGCTTGACCGTCTCTTTTGACTGCAACTAACACACTGTTCAGCTCAGTTGTCCCCTAGAAGGTCTTTCGCTGTCAGTTCCTGGTAAATCTGGGCTCTACCCAATTTTGTGATAGAAGTCTGAAAAGACGGGAGACATTAAATGCAAACTTGTTTTTACTATTGAGTCAGTTTTGTTTTATCCTGCAGGTATCCAAGCTAGAAAAAAAGGAAGGAATGTCTCTAGTTGAAGACGTGGACTGATTTGCTGTCTTGTTTAACTGTGGTAATTAATTTGTTAAGCAGAATGTTCAAAACTGGAATACACTGTGATGATGAGCAGAGGTGACCCAAACAATTGTTGAGGTGACCATTGTAAATGGCATTTGTAATCAAGTCCTTGGTTGTTTTTTTTGATTGACTCCCTGTTTTGTTCCCAATATACTTGAACTGTAGTTTAGCTGAGGAATCATGTATTAAGGATTTTATTCAACTACTTGAGTTAATTGCCTTTAATTGAAAATATTTGGATAAGCCCATCAATCGTAAATAAATGCAGGGTAGTCTTTTGTGAAAGTGTATACACATACAGATACTAAGTTTGGTTCTAATAATTAGGATATGATTTATGAGTAACTGTCAGCTGAAGGTATAAAATTTCAACAGTTCTGGCATGTGCTGTTGAGGGGATAAACTCATTTCGCTTTGCAATAAACTTGTGCTTTTATAATGCTAATTGACTCAGTTCTGATTTGATGTGTTCTTTATTTATATAGCACAGGCTGTGTAGGCTGGGCCAGTGTTTTGAATAGCCACCTAAGGTCTAAATCAAGAAGATATTGGAAGCGTGTCTAACTTGAGGCAGACGAAAAAGGGTGATCTCCTTGTTAGCAGGTTCCAAATTATGGTTCAGCTCCTTGCTTTATAGGTATTTGCTGTGTAACTTGTGACAATTAACTTTAAAATCTCTGACTTAATTTTCTCAGAGAGGAGAAATTCCTATTTCATCAGGATGTTCAGGGATTGTTCAATGGTTATTGCTCTCCAAAATCCTCAGCTGTATTTTAAGGATTTTGGATAAAATTGGCACAGTGTGGTTTCCCTTCTGGCATTTTTAATGCGTAAGAATACCTGTAAACAAGAGTACCTGAAACAGGAAATGTCTTCTGCTATCTTGAATGGAGAGGGCACAAGTTTAGTATCCATCACTGTTGCTATTCCTATATGCTCTGGTGCTGCCTGTCCAGGAGCTGTGTGATCTGTTCTCACTGACCACATAATCCCTTTTCTGTTGGAATCAAGCTCACTGGGTGTAAAACGTCTAGAAATGGAGTGAATGTTGCAGAATGAAGTATAAAGCCAGCTTCCTTTGAGCTGAGTTACTGTGTTACCCACCTTCCACCTGCTGTTTGCAGTTATTTTTACTTCATGTATTCACTGATGTTTTAAATGTGTCCAGTGCTGTGGACCAATAAAAAAGGTAGAAGGGTAGGCTTGTTTCTTTACTTGACTTCCTTTTCTGCTTGTTCATTTAATCTTTGGCCATTTCTGTTGCTTTTATAAAATTTTATTTGAAAGGTGTGGTTTTCAAAGGGAAACTAGCAATGCATTTCTGAGGTTCTGGGCAAACAGTGCTCTAACTGCGACAGCAGGGGAGCTCAGACCAACAGAGACTTTTGTTCAAATGGTTATTCATTGTGCTAATGGAAAATGTCTGCTAAAGGGCATGTTCTCCACCTTTGTTTTCCATAATCCAGAAAGAGTTGATTCACTTGGAGTTAAAGATGCTGCATTGTTCGTAGTGGGTTTATAGTATGTTAATCTTATAAATACATAGCTAACTTACCTTATTTGATGTTGCTGGTACTAAAAATGTTTGTATTTGTCTGACAGAAGACCCGAGCTGAGATTCGCTTACCCTCACCATCCATTAGGCAGTTCCATTTCCCATTCCAGCTAGAGAGAGTGGATGAAATTTGAGCAGAAGCTCAGGAATCTGCTGTATATTTGAAATCTTCCTGTTTCTGTGTTTTCGTCCTGAAGTTACTGATCCTCTTTCCTGACAATCACAGAAGAGTAAAGTGGAAGAAAACATTGGCTTTCATTCAAATAAATAATAATAGCAAAAATAATACAGTGTTTACATGCTCTTATGATTACCATGGTTACCCTGAATATTTCAGACACTTAGTGAAAGGACACTGGTGTTTCTTAGCAATGGCACTTACTGCATATGTGCAAATTGCGTTTCATTTCTTACCTGCTAGAGCTGAATACAGATTGTACCAACCCACCCCTACTTCCCTTTTACTATCTGGAAACTTTCACAGTACCTGTTCCATCTGATGCCTGTCGTTCAGCTATTGTCAACAATAACTCCAATTTTTTTAGTGCTTTGCTGTCTACTGAGAATGTGAAATTACTGTAAGATGTAGCTGCTGTCATTCACTTTTTACTAGTGATGACTATTATGGTACTGTCACGGAGTTTTCCTTTTTATCTTAAATTCGCCAAAAAGGGTGGATCTGACCCTGACTTACGTAGAAGTCTGTGTGAAACAGTGGTTTTCTTTTTTGACCCATCAGTTGTGCAGCTGAAAGTAAAAACGGCCCCATTGCTAATTAGACTGTATAGGGTAAACCGACTTTTACTACTCCGGCTGGAATACTGAAGGGATGGATACACTTTCCTGTTGATCGTTATGCTGCCATAGCTCCCAGTATGTGGCAGAAAATTGTGTACTGTTAAAACTATCCCCAACACCTACCCTTTTGAAACTGCAGCTTTCTGAAGTTGAACAGTGAAAGTATGTACCAGGAAAGGGGGAGAGTATCACAGAGTCACTAAGGTTGGAAAAGGCCTATAAGATCATCTAGTCCAACCCTCACCCCAACACTACCCTACCTACTAGACCATGCCCTCAGCTGCCACGTCTACACGTTCCTTGATGGTGACTCCACCACTTCCCTGGGCAGCCCGTTCCAATGCCTGACCACTCTTTCAGTGAAGAAGTTTTTCCTAATATCTAATCTAAACCTCCCCTGACGCAACTTAGAATCATAGAATCACAGAATGGTTTGGGTTGGAAGGGACCTTAAAGATCATCTAGTTCCAACCCCCCTGCCATGGGCAGGGACACCTTGCACTAGACCAGGTTGCTCAAAGCCACATCCAGCCTGGCCTGGAAGACATCCAGGGATGGGGCATCCACAACATCTCTGGGCAACCTGTTCCAGTGCCTCCCCCCCCTCTCTGTGAAGAATTTCTTCCTGACATCTAATCTAAACCTCCCTGATTTCAATTTATACCCATTACCCCTTGTCCTGTCACTACAGGCTCTTGTAAAAAGTCCCCCCCAGCTTCCTTGTAGGCCCCCTTCAGATACTGGAAAGCTGCAATGAGGTCTCCTCGGAGCCTCCTCTTCTCCAGGCTGAACAAGCCCAGTTCTCGCAGCCTTTCATCATAGGAGAGGTGCTCCAGCCCTCTGCTCATCTTCGTGGCCTCCTCTGGACTCGCTGAAGAGGGTCAATATCCTTCTGATATTGAGGG